TAAGTACTTATCAAGTAATTATATTTGCGTGTATATATATATATATATATATGTACATTCAACACCACCATCACACCCACCCACCCCTCAGTCATAAGTTTTCCTTTGTTTTTCTTCTTTTCATATTCATTTAGTTATTTACTTTTATTCTGCATAATCATCTACTTGTTTGTATTTATTTTAGTTCATCAGAGGAAAATGAAACAAGGAAGATTAATAATTATTAATACTTGTAGGTCATAATATGAAACGAAAAAAAGTCACTTTTGAACAAGAAAATCTTTTCGTTTCTCTTCTATTCAAGTGTTATTATCATTTATCTTTTCTCATTCATTATATATCCATTTTGAAGGAAATTCATAGGATTAAATATAATAAATCCAAGAAACAATCCTTCAACAGTCTATTTAGATTAATAACAAAGATAAATGTGTATAGAATTCGTTATAGTTATTTACTATAAGAAAGTTTTACACCATCAAATAACATTATTAAGGTTCTATTTGTAAGGTTAAACAGATTAAAATAGTTACTTTAGTACTCGGCAAGAATATTTGGTAAGACATCTGCAAAAAAGAGGAGGCAACGGCTCAATAAGAAGTCCTATAATCGAACACCTTGTGAACATAGGTCACTCACTCAAGACAGACTCTGCGTTCAAAGTCATCTACAAGGTAAGTAGAAGTCTTCTTAAGACAATTAGACTGCATCTTCTTTGCATTGCGAGGCAATAGCCATACATTTTGAAAAACCAGAATTATGTGTACAAAAGAGACTGGTACAACCTCTTCTTCTACCATGGTCTTAATGTATTAAATTTTTTTTCAGTTTCTTCATATTCTTGTTCCCTTACAGCCACCTGCTTCACCTTCCATCTTCCCTTCAAATCTTCTGCCCCCAACCGGTTTGTTTTTATTTCCACGATCATTCCGATCACATTTCATCTCTATTTCAACACTTTATTTTATCATGCTGAGCCATCCTTACCCAATGAATACTTCGGCCATTAACTAACAAACGATTATTAAACTTTCCTCGTTTAAAAAATAATCTTTAATACCTTTGTTTATTTAACCTCACTGTCACCATGTATAACAGAAGTTTATTATCAGTATTATTATCCCCCTGTAAAAATAATGTAATCTAAAGACTGAATCATAAAAAAATTCTGATCATATGTGTTGAAATTTACTATAAGTGTATTTCAATATGACATGTAAATATTCTTCAAAGAAAAATTCAATTCAAACATAAATATGAAGACATTTTTCTTCATTAATTGATATAAGCTGGTGAATCCTACAGAAAAAGACACTAGTGAAAATTTGTTTTGCTCAAAACTGTGGTTTTCCCACTATTAGGCACCTATCAGTCAACAACATAGTTGCGATAACATTAAGTAAGTGTTGAGCTTACATTTTGAACATTAATTAGTTTGAGATATAGTATAATCGTCATCAGATAAAATTGCTTGATCTATGTCGCTCCCAATATAAATGAACTAAAATGGGTATACATAAAAATTTACAATCGTCTAAAGATCCCCATCATATTTAAAGACTAATACTTAAAAGAAGAATATTCTTTACGATAAATTTTCTTCAGGTTTTACAATTATATATCCAAATTAATAATTCAAAAAATGGTCAGATTAAGAACAAAGTGCATCGTCTAAAGTTATAGGATTGTCAAGCAAAATAGAATAAAATTGTTATTGTTGAAATGGCTAATATGGAACATTGATTTGAATCAGCTTATTTATCGGGTCAGTAATTTTTTGCCAAAGTTTGTCAGACTGCAGTAGCCATCCAGATTAAGAAACCGAAGCTATGCATAGAAATAAAATATCTCCAACCCCTTCTCCTCCACTAGACAACCTCAAGGCCAATTAATCAATAGTAATCTTAGCTATTGTATGACCTAATTTGACCATTGTACTTACGACCTTTCGTATTCAAATGTAATTGTATCCGTAAACTTTATTCACAAATCTTTGTATTATTATTATTGGTTAAAGATCGTTGTTAATCTCCCGATACATAATTCATTTACTTCGCATTCATCCCACTTTATTATGTCTTAAATTTTTTACACAATATAGTCTTCCACTAAACATTTGATCGAATCGTAATTGCACTATTATTTCTCTCATCCTATTTGACTCATATTTAATCGTTTAAAGATCCTCATCATATTGAATGACCAATATTTGAACGAAGAATAGTCTTGACGATTATTTCATTTCAGGTTCTATAATTATATATCCAAATTAATAATCCGAAAAATGGCCAGGTTAAGGGCAAAGAACATTGTTTAAAGCATGGGAATTTAGGATTGACAAACAAAATACCCATATTTAGTCTGATCATGGATCTTAGATTTTCACTTAATATATAAACTGATTCAAGTTAATAGTTTATGAGTCATATCAACATTAACAGTTTTATTCTATTTTGTATGACAATCCTAAATTGACATGCTGTAAATTTATAAACATTCAAAAATCAAAAGGGCGTTACGTGAAGATTTTAGTAATTTAATAGTTGAATTCATGAGTCAATTGAAGCTAGACCACCATGGAAAATCTGGAAGCACTAGATGGCCGTTTCATCCAAATGTAGGACTCCTCAGCAGTGTTAACTCACCATACCACCTCACAAGATTCGAACTTAGTAGAGTTCAACCAGGTGTGTTGTGAGATAGTAACTCACTGAAGACAATGGTGAACGGTGGCACGATTTCGTGGATTGGTTGAAGTTAGACATTAAAACAGTTTGATGTTGGCTCAACGGTCTAGATATTAAACATTCGTGCGCGAGACTGATGTGTTCTAGGTTCGAATCTCGTGAGCGGGATCATGGATGCGCACTACTGAGAATTCCCATACTAGGACGAAACGGCCGTCCAGTGCTTCCAGGTTTTCCATGGTGGCCCAGCTTCAACCGACTCATGGATTTAACTATTAAATTTAAAAAAAATTATTTCAATTTTTGTTTCATGCTAGTGGAATAAAAACTCGGTAGGTGTTGGGAGATATTCAATTTATTCAATATCTGTTGAAAGCAGAATGCCACATATAATTAGTGTCATTGAATTAGGTAAACTAGTTATTAGTTGAAGTGGTTTTAAGCAGTGATAAAGTTCATCCGTTTCATTTAGTTTGTTAAATTTTACAAGTCTAACGATTGCGATATTAAGGCTAAAATATTCTCAATAACTCAGATAAATATCTGAAATTACGTTTGGAGTTCAGTTTAGGGATTCGTTGAAAATGGTTGTCGTTTGGTTCGGCTAAACTTCTTCAAAATTGCTCAACGTTTTTCTTTGAGTCTCTCAGTTTATATCTTATAAAATCTATAAATGAGCATATCAGTCATCAAAAGATACTTAGAAATCATTGGTGTAGATTGGTCTCTAATCTATCACTTTTTTTCAATAAAACATGTGCTCTAACTGGAAATGTAATAAAAAATACAATACGATAAAAATATTCAGTTATTTTGATGGAATTATGAAAAATACGTATGCCATATCTAGTAGCTTTTCGTCAAGTTCAGTCATATCAAAAGTATCCATAGCTCTTCTCCAAAAACGTCACCTCTCTTCAAGTACTAAGTGACATAAAAAAAACAATATCGACGAGGTACATTCACTATACGCACATTATTATTATTCGCACTGGTTTGTATCTTTTCACTGTTGACATTTAGGTCTACGTTCGATCAAACTTTTTTGAATGAAAATCCTTATGCGTTACACGCTGTCACCAGCTTATTATAATTTTAAATACTGGCTGATAATAAAGTGTAAAACATGCATCTCGTCTAATACAGATCTCATTCTCTAGCTGTGTCCGAATCCCACCGTTGTTATAATTGCAGTCATTGAAAACTGAACACGTCTACAAATGAATGATTAATTGATCTATTAACAGTACAGATGTCTAACAATAATGATCACCCACTTGGTGTTGTTTTACTTGAATCTTCCCATTGATGTTTTAGGACTGAAATTGATGAGTCTCCCCATTGCACAAGCAAGTGGCTATCAGGACTCAGTAGCTAAGTGGATAACGCGATGGCGTTTGAAGCGAACGGTACTGAGTTCGAGTCCCAGAGTGAACATCAACTCTGAGATGCAGGCACATCCAGCTGACGAGTCCCAAATAGGACGAAACGCGCGTCCTGAATTCCACTGCTAGCCACTATCCATCTTTGCTAATAATGATCATCGCTCTATCATTGAAACATAATTTGCACATAATTATTAAACAGTAAACAGAAACATATATGTTCAAGTGTGAATGTGTTAATCAACAAATATGTCCAATTGGATAGTCGGAAATGCTAATAATTCAAGAAAAATAAGTGAATACCAAAAACAGTAAATCAATCGAAACTGTAAACTATATTCATCAAATATGATTCAATAATAATTCGTTTTTTCAATGGTTAAGATCATGAGTCAGTTGAAGCTAGACCACCATGGAAAACCTGGAAGCACTGGACGGCGTTTCGTTCTATTGTGGGACTCCTCAGCAGTGCGCATCCATGACCTTTCCCCCTGCGAGATTCGAACCCAGGACCTACTGGTTTTGTGCGTGAGCACTTAACCACTAGACCACTGAGCCGGCAGACATCCAACGGTGTGAATATCTAACTTCGACCAATCTACGAAATCGTGCCACCGTTCACCATTGTCTTCAGTGAGTTAATATCTCACAACACACCTGGTTGAACTCCACTGGTCACTACTTCTCACTAGAACGCCAGGATATACCATTTGAAGCCAGTCACTAGTGAGCATATGTTGATTAATATCAGATGGGTTTTTTGTGGATATTATAGTAATTTCAATGGTTAAGATCATGAGTCATTTCTTTTTAATAATTAAAAATAAACGTTTTTCTTATTAATACACAGTACAAAATTATTTTGTTTAAATTTTTCCATACAGCATTTCATATGTTTTATTTTGTTTATTTTTAAATTTATATTTAGCTGTATTTAAAGATTTTCTACGAGAATTACCAGAACCCTTATTCACTAGTGCATTATATCCAATGTTTTATGATGCCATGCAAATAGCATTGCCTGGATTTACACAAAGTGGCGCAAAACTTGTATTGAATATTTTAGACTGCCTACCAGCAAATAATCAGGTAAGCGGTTATATTTTAGATGCAGTTTTTCCTGTACGTAGTTTGTTTTCTACATAATAATTAGAAAATGATGTGTTTTTAACATTAAAAAAATTAAGCTATTTGAATAGCACAATAAAGATTGAATTCATGAATCAGTTGAAGCTGCGCCACCATGGAAAACCTGGAAGCACTGGACGGCCGTTTCGTCCTAGTATGGGAATTCTCAGTAGTGCGCATCCATGATCCCGCTCGCGAGATTCGAACCTAGAACACATCAGTCTCGCGCACGAATGTTTAATATCTAGACCGTTGAGCCAACATCAAACTGTTTTAATGTCTAACTTCAACCAATCCACGAAATCGTGCCACCGTTCACCATTGTCTTCAGTGAGTTACTATCTCACAACACACCTGGTTGAACTCTACTGAGTTCGAATCTTGTGAGGTGGTATGGTGAGTTAACACTGCTGAGGAGTCCTACATTTGGATGAAACGGCCATCTAGTGCTTCCAGATTTTCCATGGTGGTCTAGCTTCAATTGACTCATGAATTCAACTATTTAAATACTATAATATCCACAAATCCCCTCTCTGACAATAAAGACTGATTAAGTTTACAAGTAGTTTTTATATATCTTCTGAAGACTAATGAAGTAACAGAAAGAACGCAGTAGAATGCGGCTTTGTTTCTAGCTCTAAAAATGTATGGCCTGAACTGTTGAGAAAAATTTAACTCCCGATGATAAAAAGTATCTAGTACATCGTAGTTTGATAATTATTCTAACACTCTTATACGGAACCTTCTTCAAATATATATTTATTTAATGACATGTATACTTTATCAATAAATCATAGCATAATGATATTCTACTTATGATCATATTGCCCAGTATGATAATCAAATCTTCATTAATAAATGAATTTATAAAAGACTAAATCATTTTGAGTAGGGAGTGTTTTTTTAATAATTACAATTTACTTTTTATTTTATCTTGAATAACTCAACTGTTTACAGTTAGATTTCACAAGTAGCTAACAGTTACGTCTGATTATTGTTCAATTCAATAGTTTTCAGTAGTAGTTATATATTTTGATCAATTATTATTAGTAAGAACGATAAAGAAGAAAGTAAATTAACCAGATATTACTTTGTACAATCGTATGTATAAGTTGATTCGTTCAAAAAACCGTTTGTGACTATGATAACGTTGTGAACTTTCAATGAAAGACACACATGATTCACAAACAAACAAATGTGAAAGATGAGTTTTTTTCTGAAATCCAATTTATGAATATTTTGACTAGATATTAGACGCTTTACATATCCAGTCTATGGATGAATTTTTATAATAAAAAAACATTTAATGACGATAAAGAATTCATTTTGTACTTTCTACAACTTTATCACCGGTGAACTTAAAAAATAATCCATACAAAAAGAATTTCAAATGGTTAATGAAAGTGTTCGAAACTAAAATCCTTTATAGACAGGTAAATTTGTAATCATTTACTACTCATAGTGACTCCATAGCCAAATTACTCATAGCTTAAATACATAAAATGCTTTATGCTAAATTTTAAAAAAATATTGAAATCTGCAGAAAAACATGTAGACTATTCAAATTAGAAGTATTTGACTATCTTTCCACACAAGTATGTCATTCTATTTAGAAATATGCCAATCAGCCATCAAATCTTGGTATAACTTTCATTTTCTGGAAAATTCAGATATTCTTTTGGTGTTTTTCATTAAATAACATCTGGTCACACTTTAAATCGTATTTGCTTCCAATTGTTAATGCACTCAACAATAAGATTATCTACGGTTTCTTGATTTTTATAGTCTCTACATTGAATATCTAGTTATAACGAAACTTATTTTTTGGTGGGGGCCTTCATTTTGACGTCAATTATACCACACGATGATGTCGACGAACTCACTACTTTAGTGGCCCGTGATCTGACTCCAGTTTGATCGTTTTTTATTGCTAATGGGATATATATATCGCCAATTCTCGTATATATCGTCGGCTTATATCGCGTTAGTGAATAACTGAATTAAATAAGTCAAATACGAGAATGAATTTCGAATACGTATATTTCACACAATATTTGATCCAGACAAAATATCGGAGGAGAGAGAGCGAAGCGAAATGACACGCAGTGAAGAAGGTTCATGAGCCAACTCCATTTAGTCAAGCGTTAATCAATATTCATAGTCACACACAAGCTACAGACATGTGATGAATGGATAAGAATTGCACACATATGCACTCATATAAAAACAATCAAGATTGATAAGCGAATAATTAATAAAGTCAAAATATGACTCAAATAGAATGAATAGATTGACCTATCCGAAAACTAGAGTTAGGTATATGGGCTTAACGTAATAACCGACACCACAATGTCATGTAATTTTTATGCAAATGCATCAAAATAAGTTTTCAGTTAGTGAAATATCATTATTAACATTAAACGGATACAAATTTATGTGAATTCATTGTGATATTTCCTAATTACTGATCTAACATTTATTTGATACTTTGGTGAAATAATTTCAATTCGAGATTAAGGTATTTCTACACAGCTTGAAAATTTTGCATACCGATAGCAGTGATATTACAGTACAGAGAAACTGATTTCAAAAGAATAAAATGTGTTTATGTACTTATAACGAATCGGATGAACAGGAAATCTGTAAAGACTAAAAGATCTACCATGAATTTATATTTTAACCACCGAGAAACTACAGAATTATTGTTAACAATGAATATCATCAAAAATGAAACCAAAGTCTTAGACTTTGTATTCCTTTTTAATACATCCTAAAACTGCACAACATAATCAATGAGTAAATGTGGTTCGAAATATATAATGATCTCTTTTACTATGGCTGTCTCAAAGTTTGAATCTTCGAGTTGAAATTCAGTAACCATACTGGGATCTCCATTTTGAACCATGAGCTGTCTTTCAATGAGAAAAACTGCTATAGAAATTAAATTGTGACAGGCGTATGACTGTTATAAGTTTAGTACCAAAAAAGAAAACTAAATGACTAGATTTTAGTGCCTGCTTCAACTTCAGGCTAGCTCATCATTCTCTACAAAATCTTTAAACGTCTTTAGACAATATCCCAAACAAAATTATTTTAACCGAGCAGCTCAGAAAATGGATAGTGTTTTGCAATGTTGGAAAAAACATTCAACCACCGTTAGTGACAACATCTATTCTATCAAAACTCCAATCGAAGCTAAACTTAAACAATCAAGTTTTTGACACATTTATTTAAACAATTGCCTTGACTTCAATGAAACATGTTGATTACTAGCAATTAATTCAAGTTTTCATGACCTTAGTGAAAAGTTGGACAGTTCAATAGTACCATCTGTATTTCGATCTCTGTACAAGACGATTTCAAGTCTAAAAGTGAGAATAAGCATACATGAACGTCAACATCAAATCTCATTTAGGTTTTCGAACCCACATAAACTTTAGCGCCAGTATATATTTCCGGATTAACGGGGTGTACGTTACATCTCTATATTAGTTTCGAATGATTAGTCACTGATGCGTAAACGTGATCGATTTATCATGCCCACAGGTTTACATTTAATAGATAGGTAATGAGTACAATGTTTTTAATTTAATCTTCTAACCAACACTTTACGACATAACATTCAGTATTTACTCTTCATGAGCAAAAAATAAAGCGATTCTAGAATGCTAATGATAAATCCATTTTATTAACTATAATAACGTAAGTTAAAGTGTTAAATATGGAGCAAGTAACTTTGTCCCTTTAATTCGATACGTAACCTAAATTTTTCGCTAATGAATCCTCTTAATCCTATAAGGACAAACAATCTATATTCAATTAATGAAGAGTTGTTGAATATGAACTACGAATTATGCATGCGTCCCATTTTACATTATATATTTTATGACTAAGAACGCTTGTCAGCTGAAAGTAGCACTAATTGCTTAAGAGTAACCATTTTAGTAATGTTTTGACATAACCCCGTATTGGTCATCAGGTAGAAATTTAATGAGCCGTGGTTGCATATTGTTGTGGTCACTCGTCATTAGTTTTTGTCTCTGTATGATGGACAGTTTTAATTGGCGCTGGTGAGAAGTCGCGAAATAGAATGAAGTAGCTACACAGTACTTCTTATCTTTTAGGATGACAACTATCTTCTGATTTATTGAGTGCCCACGGAAATACTTAATTAAACAGCAAAATTATTTGAACTGTAGACTTGAAGATGTTAATTTTATGGGTACCTTGATTATATTCAAAACCTTTTTACCTAGGTTCACTGAAAATAGCCTTCTAAGAACATTTTAAGTGATTTTACTTATCACTCTAGTTTGAACCCTATGAGGAGCCTAACACTTAACTTGGAAATTGTGCTGATATCTCACACAAATACTTTAATCAACATTTTTGATCATTTGTTCTAAAAAATTATCATACAGACTATATGAACGTTGTCAATATGATTCTGTTACTTAAGTCATTCTCCTCTGATAATTTTCAAATGTGAACATAAGACAAAACTTTAACCGATGGAGAGCCTTCCATTACTTATATAGGACCTTCCATTGAAGACGGATGAACGTAGAGACTAGTAAGAATTAAAAAATAAGGAGGTATTTCGTACGGTTTTGTTATCTTATTTCGATAAAAGTGTCAAATTCGTGTTATCGACTTTTACAGAATCTAGGTATGATTCTAGATTTGTTTAATCACAAGTTTTGTGAAGTAAAATAATTATGGTAAATACTTAGCAATAGATAACTAACTACTTATCGTTTTATTGTTCTCGAAGACAATGTTATCCTAAATACAAGGGAGAGATGATCAACTCCATGTCTTCTACTGTTCGTTTGTCTCAATTTATTGGTCTTTCATCTTTCTCCTCCTTTATTTGGCATGATATTTTTTTCCATTGAAAAACGTTTTGTAAAACTTCCTTATGATATAAAAGTGAGTACATCAATAATTTTTCCTTAGAC